CTGAGCGTTTATTATGTGCCAGAGAGCACGAGCCAGATGATAATTTCCACCCAGGGAAAGGACAGGGTTTACAAAGAGCTCGGTTCTCAGACAACGTTGTTTGAAGTGTGAAAAGGGCTCCCTGAAGGGAACTGCTGATGTTTACAACATTAAATCAAACTCTTATCGAGTTTGTCCTTTCACTCTATTTATTTTGGAGCATCGCTGATAGAGTATGTGTGTGTGTATATTTATATGCATGCGTGTGTGTGTATATATGTGTGTGGGTGTGTATGTATGGAAGAGTTATGATCCTTCAGCCTTACCCATTACAGCTAACTCCATGTTTCCTGTCGTCCCACTCAAGAGCATTTCCAAGCAGCGTTTGGCCAGCACAGCATTTGAGTTGGCTGCCTTCGGTATGAAGGTTCAGAAAATAATGGTAGATTAAAGACTCTGCCTGCCGTTGTGGGCAGGGAGGATGCGAGAGACACATGCTCACAGCGTGCTAATGAAGAACCGTCCAAAAGGAAACTAACAGGTTTTGTCTTTGTTGGAGGTTTCTCTCAAAGCTTAGAGGTGGTATGGCCAGATAAATTGCTGTGATAGCTTTGAACCCAGAAGAGACCTAAAGTAAATGTTACTATGAAATTATGTTTGATCATTAGATTAGATTCCTCTCATGTGCAGGGCCAGATTTGTTATGGTTATTCATGAGAAATATCCTTCTTAGCTTCAGGGATGTGCAGGGCCAGATTTGTTATGGTTATTCACGAGAAATATCCTTCAGGGGAAGTATTTGTGATGGAGAGTCATCAGATTTTGGCCTTTGGTATCCAATTCTGTATTTGTGATGGAGAGTCATCAGATTTTGGCCCTTGGTATCCAATTCTGCGTGCCTATAAATACTTAAAGGGTGGGTGCCAAGAGGATGGGGTCAGTCTTTTTTCCATGGTGCCCAGTGACAGGACAAGAGGAAATGGGCACAAACTTGAACATAAGTTCCTTCTAAACGTGAGGAGGAACTTCTTTACTTTGAGGGTGGCAGAGCCCTGGAACAAGCTGCCTAGAGAGGCGGTGGAGTCTCCATCTCTGAAGATGTTCAAAACCCACCTGGACAAGTTCCTGTGTAACTTGCTCTAGGAGGACTTGCTTTGGCAGGGGGGTTGGACTAGATGATCTCCAGAGGTCCCTTCCAACCCCATATCATTCTGTGATTCTGTGTTGAGACACTTAACATATTTACAATTGGATGTAAGACCAGCTTCAACATGAAGTTCCCAAACCATTGTCAGTATATCCACCTGGACAAGTTCCTGTGTAACTTGCTCAAGGAGGACCTCATAGATGCTTTCAGGTGCTGCAAAATGGGGAACCCAAGAGCAAAGCCAGGTTCCAGTTAGGCTAATCAGTCATAGATGCTTTCAGGTGCTGCAAAATGGGGACCCCAGGAGCAAAGCCAGGTTCCAGTTAAGCGAATCAGTCCTGGCTCGGTTCCCATATCATTCTGTAATTCTGTGATTCTGTGTTGAGACACTTAGCATATTTACCATTCCTTTTAAGACCAGCTTCAACATGAAGTTCCCAAACCATTGTCTGTATATAGATGCTTTCAGGTGCTGCAAAATGGGGACCCCAGGAGCAAAGCCAGGTTCCAGTTAAGCGAATCAGTCCTGGCTCGGTTCTGGGTGATGCTTAGCACGATAATGGATCATGCATTATTCTGATTTGTTTCATTTTCGTTTTGTAGGCGTGTGTGGTAGGTAGAAGTAATATCTTTTACTGGGCCAACTGGTATAATTGGTAAAAGCAAGCTTCAGTGCTGACACAGTTAACTCCAAAGTTAACTGCAAAGCCAAGAACTATTGCTCAGGGTTTGACACCATACGCATCAGTTTGGTCAACTCTGAAACAAATGATGGCTGTTTCTCAGGGAAAATAGAGCTGATTCCTGTAGGAGAAGGGTGTGTTGTGCAGGAGCGGGTAGAAGAAAAAAAGATGCTAAGGTATTTTTGTCCCAAAAGGAAAAGCAAGATGGTTTATAGCCTGTGGACTTGGAGAGTTTGATTACCCCAAAAGGAAAAGCAAGATGGTTTATAGCCCGTGGACTTGGATAGTAAAGTGGAAGGGTGATTATTACATGCTCTAAAATGAGTGTCTCTATTAAATTTCGTGCATGATCTTCTCAGCATGGGAACTAAAGTCTGTAATTAAATACATTCAATAAAGATGTGAAGACGCTCATGACACCCATCTCAGGGTGGTTTTGTGTGCCCAAAAGCTTATCTCATTTTTCAAACAGTTAATCATATAAAATATATGATTTCTACCTGCTCACCTCCACCTCTGTTGCCTGTGTCCTTAAACCACCGCATCTCCAGCAAAATACCAACAGCAAATGGATGTTAACGTTTCTTTTATTTTCCTACAAGTAAAACTATACTATAAACACTATAATGCCATGAGTATTGTATAAAAGTTTGAAGATCCTCCAAGGCAAAATACAGTATAATAGCAGAGTCCTCATGTTACAGCATTACACCGTTAACAGAATAGCTCTTCAGAGGCATCTTGGAGAACGATCCCACACCCGGATTTGGCAGCTGGGGCTGCTTTTTGGGCCACACCATTCAGCGTACCAGCACGTGTTTGAACAGATCCTGCTGTGCTAAATTAGCCCCAGCGCTGCTGTTACTTTGCTCTGATTGAAAACTAGCACCTGCAAGGTGCTAATGCTGAAGAGACCTTAGACGTGGGATGGTCCCCCCATCACTGTAGCATTGGAAGGCTTCACAAGGTCCATCCCCTTGTAAAGTAAACAACTGCTGTTCTCCCTATTTGGGAACCACCCAACTACCGAGACTATTTTTCCAGAATTACTAGAATTGCATAATGAATATAGAGTTAGCGGTGGTAGAAGACAGTTTGTGAACTATTGGAACCAGCAGTTTCTTATTGAAACCACCAGCATTTCAGAAAATGATCCCTAAACTCAAAAAAAAAAGAAAAAAAGTATAGCCTGTATTTGAGCTACATGCCGGATTTAAAGTTTCATATAGCAAAAGTGCATTTGCAAGCCCTTGTGGAAGCTGGCAGGAAAGATCTTCTGGAAGAGCTGGCCAAGGGTATCGTACCCCGAGAACTTGGTCTGCCCATGTTTCCAAAATAAAATTTGTCAAGAGGGAAACTTGAGCTGTACTTATACAGCTTGTTAACAAACTTGTTCATAAAGCAAAATGCTTCAACAGCTTTGGAGGGAAAACGTTCTTTGCAAACGTAAGTAAGTGTTCTCTTTGCAGCTTGGTCTTTTCCGTCAGTTGCTGAAGGGATACTTTGACTTGTAGCTGTCCACATATGTGGTGTTCAGCTTAGTTCATTTGTAGTATGATGGTCTGTGCTCCCAGTTGGCTCTTGTTGAGGACACGTGCCTTCACCGAGGTGTCCTTGGGCAGAGCAGAACGCTCATGGCATTTTGGAGTAACTCTAGGGCCTGTCCACACCAAAAGGCTGAGTGGGTGCAAGGAGAGCGTGCACAAATCTGCACTCAAATGCACACCTAAGCTAACTAGAGTCTTCTCAGGAGCCATCTGGGCAAAATGAAAAGGAATGTCTCCAATTCATGGGACACATAAATGGAAACAGCAGGCTGGGGTATGTAAGCAGAATTCCGTCTTCTAAGAAACACAAAGCCATGCTGCCATTCTGCTGCCTTAGTTGGAAAACAGTGAACACTTTGGGTACCGCCCTCTAAGGAAGATGTGGACTCATTGGAGAAAGTCCAGAGGAGCTCACTAGATCAGAGGATTAGAAAATATGAGTTATGAAGAAACAGTGAAAGGATCAGTTTGTTTAGTCTAGAGAAGAGAAGATGGAGAGAAGACATGATAACAGTCTTCAAATATGTGAAAGGATGCTTCAAAGACAAAGGGAATAAACTATTTTCCATGTCTTCTGGGAGACACTGGAAATAGGTTGCCTGAGGAGTCTCCATCTTTTGGAGATCTAAAGATCTCTGATTGATTAGCCAAATATCTGTCAAAGTTATTTTGCCAGAGCTGGGGTAGGGGAAAGGACTGGATGACTGCTGAGTCCCGCAGACCCTCTGGTTATTTTATGGGACATCTCCAGACTGGGAGGGTCTGGATGGATTCTTTGATTTCTTATAATTTTTTGTTGCTAATGAACATTATGTTTCTAGACTGTGGCTAAAAAATTGATTTTTGTAAACATCACATACAACAGAGAAGGCAAGCTTTGCTCCCTGGCTTCACCTACGTTAGATAGCACTGATTGCCCCAGCACATGGCCCAACATGAGTTCACTGTGGTGCCTACTCTTCCAACATATCACATGCCTCGAGGAGCTAAAAGAATCAATAAAATTCCCTTGAAATGACCATGTTTACTGGAGATTTGAACGTGTCTCTATCTGTTCAAGAAACTGCACAAGATCAATTAAGTTTTTAGGTTGAGTGTTGTTCAGCTTAAGCTGTTTGTGCAGCCTGTACTGCTTTAGTGAGTGTCCATGTATCTGCTTTACTGTAAATCTCCATTAATCATGATGAATGGCTATGTACGTTTCAGGGTGGCAGGAAAATCTCCAGTGCAAACAGAAATCAGACAGGTTGGAGTGGCTCTGGAAGCTGCTGCATGGTTGAGGCTAAAAGTAGTCTCAGCCTGTTGATGTTAAATCTTTAGATGTAAGGAAAAGAAAAAAAAAAAAAAAGGTAAAATGTTTTCATCTAGGGCTGTAATGGTGATAGAAAGCAGCCCTGCACCAACAAAACCAGGTCGTACCTCTTTGTAGCTGCCAGACCTACAAGCCTTATCTGTGCTTGCTTTTATTGTCCCAGATTTTCCACCCCTGCTGCCAGCAGAGACAGCGGTGGGAAGTTTGAGCCCCCGTGTGAATGAAATCATCATCACTACAGGAGCAACCACAGCTTGGACCAACCAGAAGAAGAAAGAGTGTTCAAGGAGAGCGAAAGATCTCTTAAAACTTGTCTTGTCTGTCCCTTTCAGGATTGCTGGTGATACAGCACTCAATAAAAACATCCACGAGTCGGTCAGCGCTCAGATCCGGAAGAACTTTGCAAAAAGCAAATGGAGAGTAAGTGATCCATCCTCAGGAATGACGCTGGGACACATAACTTTTGCTAATGAGGTGGCCACGCGGCCACCCTTTCAGCGTGTTAGTGCTTTTGTGGCCCAAAGTTTGGGACAAAATAATTGGTCCAGACTATTCAGGCCCTGCAGGGCCTTTTAAGGGGGATGTTACTAACAATTATATAAATTTAATGAGTGTGAGAGATGGGGCTGGGGCTGCTCATAGCTGAAGCACCCTTAGCTCCACAGAGACCTCATAGCAGCCTTCCAATATCTGAAGGGAGCCTACAGGAATATTCTGGTCCTCAGGAATATGGTTTAGTGGTATGGTTTTGTGTTGTGGGGGTTTTTTGTGGGGGTTTTTTTGGTTTTGTTTTTTTTGGGGGGGGTCAGAGTTAGGTTGATGGTTGAACCAGATGATCTTTAAGGTCCCATCCAACCCAGACGATTCTATAATTCTGGTCCTCAGGAATATGGTTTAGTGGTATGGTTTTGTGTTGTGGGGGTAGAGACCTCATAGCAGCCTTCCAATATCTGAAGGGAGCCTACAGGAATATTCTGGTCCTCAGGAATATGGTTTAGTGGTATGGGTTTGTGTTGTGGGTTTTTTTGGTGGGTTTTTTTTGGGGGGAGGGGGGGTTGATTTTGGTTTTTTTTTTGGTCAGAATTAGGTTGATGGTTGGACTAAATGATCTTTAAGGTCCCTTCCAACCCAAACCATTCTATGATTCTATGATTCGCTTCTGACAACTCTGAGCAGCAGGGAGAGGAGCAGAAGTAACCCTTCCACCTCCAATTTTTTAAAGAACTCAATGATCTTTGAGGTCCCTTCCAACCCAAACCATTCTATGATTCTATGATTCGCTTCTGACAACTCTGAGCAGCAGCTAACCATTCTATGATTCTATGATTTGCTTCTGACAACTCTGAGCAGCCGGGAGAGGAGCAGAAGTAACCCTTCCACCTCCAATTTTTTAAATTTTTCTTTTCTTTCCTTTTTTTTTTTTTTCCTCCAGCAAGCGTTTAACGCCACGGCGGTGGTGCGGCACATGAGACGGTTACACCTCGGCAGCAGCCTGGACAGCGCCAGCGCCAGCGTGTCCAGCACCCTCAGCCTCGCCGCCCCGCTTCCCGACACAGCCACACGGAAAGATTGTGAGTAGCCCACAGCCCGGCTGTGATTCACAGCATCCCCATTTTCTCCTTCAACCCCCCCAGCCCCGTTTTCTCCTTGAACCCCCCCAGCCCAGGCTGCAGTCCTCCCTGCCCATACGTTTGGCTTGGTGCGAGCAAGCTTTTAAAATAAGGACTGAAAAGGGACCGAGGCCTTCATTTTGAGCTGGCCAAAAAAATAGTGATTCAATTGGAAAAGTTTTATGCGCTGCAAAAAAAAAAAAAAAAAGAGTTTTCACCTCGGTGCATTTTTGAGAGAAAAACAGTGTTTCTTGTGGAGAAAAAGGGCTTTCGCTTGGGAAAAAGACCCAGACCCCCACAGCAAAAAAAGTTTTGTATTTGGTTGAAAGCTGAAAAAGTTTACTCAAACTGTTTATGTTTGAGTTTCCAGTATTATGATAAGACATTTTTCTGTAACAATTGGCTTACTTTCCATTTCCATTTTCCGTGGGGGAGACTGATCCTGCCAGTCTGACCCAGCTTCCCTCTCCCTGGGCCAAATTAAGCTCCTGTATGAAGAGGCTCATTTGTCTGAGCAGGACCCGGGCTCTACACACCACAGTGGGACCTGGCCCGCTGCCTTGTTTGTTATATGCTATAATTGAGATTTGCAAGCTGCCCAATGGAGTCAGATGCTTGGAATATATATATTTTTTTCCAAATGCCAGGGAAGGAGACATGGCAGCAAAGGGATCATTTGGAAGACAGAAATGCTTCCTTTGCAGTGAAGCCTGTTTAATCTCTGGCTTCTGAGCATTTCTTTTATTCCCTTCTGTCCATCTGTAGAGGTTTTTATATCACGAAATGGAGGGATGTGGACTTTACAATTAGAGGAGATTATTTTAAGGTGGGGCAGCAAAAAGGAATGCTAATAGTTAGTGGCAGTGCAAGTCGGTGCTTACTTCACTGGGGACTGAAGTGGTCATTTCTAGACTGTACCCACCACTGTTCAAGAACCAAAAGCACATACTATTCTGGATGGATTTTGGGTGGCACTGCTATCTGCCTTTGCCACCCCTGCCTGCCAACCTCTGCTCCTTGGTGAGGGCATGCCACCAGCCACAGTCCCCATGGCTCTGGATGGAAGCTGTAGTTTCTCCTGCTGCCATGGGTACCATTTCCCCCATGACTGGGGTGGGATCTGCCCTCTGGGCACTGCATGAGATGTTTTTGCCAGCCTGTGACTTGGCTGAGCCATAGCAGAGCCCTCTCCATCCCAGATCTGATGGGGGATTCATGCCCAGTGCCCAGTTTGCAATGCCCAGTGACAAATCCTACACACGCTGCTGAAAAAAAAGCATCACGGTGGTCCTGGCACACATCTGGCACATGAAAAGGAGTGATGTGGCACTGACCAGCAGCAAAGCACTTCCAGCCATCCACAGGGAATGCAACGATGTAGGAAACCCCTTACAGGGGAGAAACATGCCTTTATTTTGGTTCCTGATGCAGTATGGCTAAGCTGGACCCTCAGTTAGGTCTAGAGCATCTGGTGGCATGCTTTGCTGTTACACTGGTAGGTGATTAATCTCCATCCATCCATTTGATTAAGCTCAAATGGTGTTAATTAATAGCAGTGAGTCGTCTGAATAGTAATGGAAAAACATCTGTGAACAAGAAGGGTGGGAAGAGAACAAAGTCTATTTAACCGCTACAGAATCCAGCAGATCCCTGTACAGAATCCAACCACCTTTTGCAGTGATGGAGAAGTCAGCCAGAATATGAAGGACAGAACCAGATGTGTTCAGCTAGGTGAAGTGTTTTTCATGTCAGAAATATCAGGCAGAAATGTATTGAAAGATTTCCAAGCGTCCCAGGTTAAGTCCAACCTGCCAGACAATACAGAAGAGCTTCCCTTCCTCACACAAATTAATTAGTTAGGAGATGCTGGAGCCCCAGAGAACCAGTGAGGAAAGCCAGGAGCAAATACAAGGAGTGATACTAGGAGGGAGGTGACGTATCAAATAAAGGCTATCAAATGCCTCCTGTTGGGAAAAGGGAAACCTCTGAGGTCTGTCTCCTGCCTCTTCCTTTCTCAGTGGTTTTCTCTGGGGACAGATTTCTTGCACAAGAAAGATCCCGTGCAGCAAGTTACATGAAACAGCTGTGCCACCATTACAAAACATAATACCGCTTAATGCTATTAATAGACATTTAATGAGCTCTCCAAATAGTTTCAAATGCAGCAATTTCTCATCATTCAAGACAATTAAATACAGCCTTCGTTTGAGAGTAGGTTATGTCAAGCTGCATCCTAATTCTGTTCCCTGTATTAGGGCAGAGCAGAGCTGATGCATTAGGCTGGATTATGCTACCTGTCAGGAAAGTCTAAGTGAATCAGTTGGGATTTCTCAAGTGTATTGGCCTGATTCTCAGTCCATGCCTGGTTTATTCTGTTTAGACATGATTGGACTGCCTAGATTAATTACAGCACCTAGATCTCTGTATTTTTAAGGTAAAAGATAAATTGCAGCGTGAAGCCAAGATATCAAATATCAATAGTGCTGGGAAATGGGATGTGGCTGAGTGTAGGTACACCATAGTAATCCCTGAGGTTGAAATACCACTTTGAAGCGTGGAAAAGTAGGTAGAAGTCGTAACAAGTGTTGACAAGATCCTGAGTAGTGCAGGGGCCATATCAAAACTCCAGTCCGAGAATATATTAATATAGATTTCATCCATCCTTTATTCACCAGGCTGGAAAAATTAACTGTATTTCTAATCACTCTGAGCCTGCATCTTGCCAGATCAAGGTGACCATGCCGGGTCCCTGTTCAGCAGCTTTTCCCATATTGGAGCTGCCTTTGCTTGTCAGTCCCTACAAGGCTGCCAAACTGCATGGAGAGCTGCACGTGCCAGCTAAGGATCTCCCCTGTGGGGTCTCAGCATCTGCTGAGAGAGGGGTAGTTCATCCACGGAAAGCTCTGACAAGGATATATTTTATTTCTCTTCATGAATGCTTTCCATAGAAACTGCTGACATTGTGCTGGAACAGCAAAATCTTGAATCTGTCATTCAAAACCCAGCCCACTTTGGGTTCTCAGGGGTGATGCTTTGGAGGGTTTTGCTTTTTTAAAGCTGTGGCAGAGGGTTCGCTGGAAGTGAACACTTTCTATAAACAGTTTATCTAAAAAACCTTTTTTTTTCATACAAAATATCTGTCAGAAGTCTTTGATTAGTTCCAAAGGAACTACCTGAGTAGTTTTGAGTCCAGATACTCAACCTACGTCAACCTGCATCTCTTAGCTGGAAGTCCTGGAGATATAGCAGCAAAACCTGGAGCGCCATAAGCTGTCGCTAGAATGATGCCCAAGTCACACAAATTTACATTCCCTCCAGGTTTACGGGAACTCAGCGACGAATTTGACCCACTACACTTCTTTATCAGCAGCTTTGCTGAATGCCTGGGGAAATTTTTTTAGTCCAGGTGCACAGTCTGTTCATTTAGCTAGATGGCCGTGATGAGAAGTTTAATCATCTTCAACTTCACAGAATCACAGAATCACAGAATGGTTTGGGTTGGAAGGGACCTCAAAGATCATCGAGTTCCAACCCCCTGCCATGGGCAGGGACATCTCCCACTAGAGCAGGTTGCTCAAAGCCCCATCCAGCCTGGCCTTGAACCCCTCCAGAGATGGGGCATCCTTGCCCAGGAGGAAAATTGTTCTGAGCAGGTACAATGCTGGAGGGATTTTTGAATCCTGCAACTCTTGGTCTTCAGCCCCAGAAATGTGGAATCGGTCTGGTTGAGCACGCACCAAAGCTGGACATTTATTCATTACGACGTGCCTATGCAACTGCCGGTGGTGGCAGCAGGCAAACAGCTGTGGGCCAGGAGGGCAGAAGATGCCCCGTGGAGGTACCCAGCCAACCCAGAGCTGTGGGAAGAGCTGGAGAGCCGTCTCCAGCTGCGGTCCCCCTCCTCTCCGTAGCGTGCTAGGAAAGAAACGCAGCTTTGCCCGCAGTCCCGCCTCCAAGAATAACATTTCTAACTGTGTTTCTGGCTTTCCTTTTAGGTATGTCTCCATCCACTCTCTGTAGTTTTGTTTCATCTGCTTCTTCAGGCGTTTCTGCGGTAGGAGGGGACCGGAGACCCAGACCCACCACAGTGACCACAGTGCACACAGGGAGCAAGTGAGAGCCGGGGCGGCGAGGAGCGGGCAGGTGGCTGGGCTGGCAGGGGTCCTCTGCACCATCCCACCCTGCCCGGCACCCCCAGCGAAGGACTAGAAGAAAGAAGATTTTTTTATGGCCATATTTTATACTGCAATTCTGAAATGTTTCATTTATCACAAACTGCAATGACTCCAGGGGGAACGGATCTAACAGTCTCTGGTGCTGTACATATATATACATATATATATAAATATATATATATATATGTGAGTCTAGCAATGTTCTAACTAATGAACACTCATTCTTTTCCCCAGTGATTTACTCTTTTCTCAGTGTAGGTAACAGTATATGTTGTATTTTTTTTCCATTAACTACAAACATCTCAACTGGATTATTTAAATAGAGATACTTTTTCTGAGCATTATTTTTTGTTTCTTTTAAAAAGTACTTCCAGTAATGTCCCTCCTTCCAGTTTGCTGGAGGATAGGCTATTTCTGTAGGTAGGAATTGACATTAACTTTGCGAGACGGGAGGATTTCAATGGCATGCCATTTCTCGCTCCTCAAATTGGACTGCAAGTCTGTCTGGCTTTAGCAGAGCTGCTACTGCTCAGATTAAGAAACTGCTGCTTTCCCTCCCCTCCTCCTCCTTGAAAGCCATGGCCAGAGTTAAATTGCCACCAGCTGGGAGTCAGCTCATCCTTGACCTCATTCCTGAAGTGCTGGGGATCTGCAGCACCCTTGTTTCAGAGGAGAGGCAGATACACAGTGTGGGTCAGGAGCCCACCAGAGCTGGGCAGATGAAATGGCAGAGCACGGTCTCATCCCACAGCTCCTATCTCCTTCGGGTCACTGTGTGTTCATGAGTAGAGCGAAAGAAAAGGAAGATGTGGGGCCAGGAGCCACAGTCATCCTCTGCCACTGACTCATTGTGCTGCCCTTGAGCAAGACATTTAATTCACCAGCCTCCTCCCACCCATTCTGAGGGCTCCGTGCTGGAGGTGCTGAGCACCTGCAGCTCCTCGGGGGCTTTTGCCAGGCGTTGCTGATGCTCAGCATCTCCCAGAGTGGCCAAAATCGAGTATTGGAAACCAAACAGCAAAGTTTGGACCTTAACATCTGTGTGCCTGGGTTTCCCCCCTGGGGAGAGGAGTGATGCTCGCGTCACTCTGTGAAGCACTGGCAGGTTCTTGGGTGCAAAAGTGCAGGATCTGGTGTAGCGTAGCTCCACCACGCTCAGCTCTGGCCGAGGGCTGGTGAGCATCACCGAGCTGGGAAAGCAGGACCTTGCCGAAAGGCATGAGCTCAGGCAGGGACAGTGGTGGGACCGCCTCCCCCTCCTCCCCAGAAGCTCATATACAAAAGGAAGCTCAATTTCCTTTTTTTTTTTTTTTTTTAATTGCTAAATACATGCACTTCCCAGGCTCCGTGTGCTGGTGCATCATTCAGGACCAGCTGCTGTGGGTGTTGTGCAGCCATGCATCAAAGCAGCTTCAAATAGAGAGGAAATCTGCCTAGATTTGCTGAAGGGCTCCAGGTTACTTCTCTGCCATTCCCAGCTGTGATTTCCCTTCCAGGAGGTGAGAAGGGAGGTGGGCAGCAGAGGCAGGCACCTTTCCTTGGCTTTTGTGAGCTTCTTGCACCCGAGACAGGTCCATCCCCAGCCAGAGGCACAAGCGATTCCCCACAGCATGTTCTTATTGCCACGCTCGCCTCATTTATCCTGCACAAGAAATTGTGAAAGCCAGTCACAGATGCAACTGAATGTCTCAGGCAATAGTAATAGGGCTGGGAAAAGCCATAAAATACCTATTTTTCATTGAGACTTCAAAAATCCTGCTTCAGCTTCAGTTGGTCGGCTTCGACCAGCAGAGCTGGGATTTCATCCATCATATTTTGAGCACCAAAAGCTGGAAAAGCAGGTGGCAGTGAGCACTTGACTCTGTTTGAAGAGGCTGCTCCTTTGGTGGCACTTAAATCTGTTTCACCTGGAAGATCTCTGGTTTTCTCACTATTAAGCTGCTCCCCTTTTTCAGAGGGCTGTGGCACGTCTGAGCAAGCCCCTGGGAGCTGCTGGTTACCCCGATGGTGGTGTAGCAGGCACGGATGCTCCTGCAGAAAGGCTTCAACTCCCAACTTCTCGTTTTAGGAAGGATGCCAGATATTGGTCTCTTGGGAGCTGGTAGCAAAACTCTGTATAATTTCCCTGATGAGGACTTCTGACCGAGATTTGGGCAGATTGAAGGGATTCTCCTGGCTGCAAGTCCCCACCCCCAGCCAGCTGCCCCATTGACAAGGAGTAGGAAGAGCTTTATTAACATTTACCCTCAGGGCTCTGTATAACTTGTTGCAAAGGTATCTGAAAATGAGTATAATACAATTTAAACTCATTTTAAGACCACTTTATTTTGCCGACCTGAGCAAGGAAGCTTTAGTTCAGGAGAGACTCCTGTCCCAATAAATTCAAGTTGTTTTGAACCCCTGTGATTTCATAAGCCCAGCTGGCCCTATTCAGCTCCAGGTGCAGGGATGTAAATAGGCAGTCTCCCAGTTTGGTGTTGGTGGAGCTCCCTACATTTACACATGGGCAACCAAAGTGGGATTTGGTTTTACAGGTCAGGGCTCAAGCGCTCCCTCTTCGCCTTCTCTTCTGAAACCTGAGGTCTGGGTTGAACCTGATGTAGTTGCTGAGGCCACTAACCAAAATACAGCATCCAAACGTATCTTGCAAAAAAAAAAAAAAAAAAAAGAAAAAAGCAAAGCAAATGGATTTCCATCTGCAAAACAAAGAGCAGTGATGGGAGCAAAGGCAGACATACTGTCCTGCAGCTGGGGGAGGTGTTCCCATATGCTGGGTGCCCCTCCTTGCTGGATGCTTTCTGTGTTTTTTGTTGAGAGGGCTATTCTTTCCTTCCACACTTGGAATTAGGGTGATTTGTTTTCCTTCCTGCAAGTAATATTCTCCCATAGTTGTGTAATTTATCATCATTCTCTCTGGCTTGCTATCAGCTGCTGGGATCTTAAGACAAGAAACAGAAGCACTTAAAAGCAAAATTGTTTCTTTCTGCTGCAATTTTGGGTGCTGGGAAGCTCTTCTTTTGTATCAGTGGAACACAGCTGGAGACCTGACCGGGGGTTCACCACATGCTTACAGTTCTCTCTTGTCATTGAGTCCTGAACTATCTCTTGATTAAAATGTCTCAGTTTAAACCTGGATAAATCTGTTAACTGGGATGACTTGGCAGCACCCAGGCCAGATTTATGGAGGGGGCTGGAGCTGTTTGCCCCTCGGCAGCTCAGCCTGGTATGGCAAACACTCGGGCATCACTTGACAGGGATGCTCTGGTGCTGTTGTGTGTCCTTCCCCTGCCCCAACCCACCCCTGCTCAGCCACTGTCACTAATGAATGCAAACGCAGGATTAAATAGTGTGTGCATGTGGGGAAGGGGCTAATAGTCCCAAAGGAGAAGACTTAAAACAAACCCCCAACTGGCCTTGCCATGAAGGAGCAGGTAGAAGAATCCCTCTGGGCTCTTTCCCAATGGGCTGTCCTACTAAATAATGTGTGATTTGCTCCTCACATGAGGACTTCAGCCTGGACTCACCTGTCTTTTACCCTTTTCTGCTTTACTTTACTGGCACCGATGCATTTTTCCTTTATAACTTGTTTTCCTCAGCTCCTTCCCCTTCTTTTTCTTTGCTTGCAGCTTTGATTGTTGATTTTTACCTCCAGAGTCACAGAGGCCATCTCTGATGCCAACGGCAGTGCTCTTGCTGGGAAAAACAAAACACACACAAAAAAAAAATCCAGAAAACCTCCAGCTGGCCCCTTAGCCTGCAGAAGAAGTTGTGAGGACAGGCTGCCTGTGAACTCAGCGAGCTGAAAGGCAGTGTTGCAGTGGCAGGGGCTCCCGCTGCTGATTTTGCATGTGACTTCATTCCCAGTGCATCCAAACTTTCTGCTGGATCATCCCTTCTGCAGCGCGAAGTGGGTATTGGCCCCGCGGCACGGCTAGTGGGGAGGTACAGGAGTACGGGGAAAAGCTGGCAGTGATGCTTTCCTGAGACTGTGTTGCTCTGTTGGTGATGTCTCTTCTGTCCTGGTTGCTATTGTACAGGTGCCATTTAGAGTAGTAGGTGCAGAAAAAAAAAGAAAGAAAAAAAAAAAGTAGGATTTTACCTATGCCTTGTGTGTCTGTGATGGTTGTGGTACTGGAATAAAACCAAGCAATGGTAGAGGTTCGTTCCTGATATGAATCAAACCACAAAAAGGGGTGTCAGCCCACTGGTAGACATCTCCATGTAGCTCTGCGGTAGGCATTAGATAAGGGTTTCCACTGTGCACGTGTCCTGCATTCCTCCATGGCTCTTGACAGTATTTTTTCTATAACCAGTTGTCCTCCTTCTGGGCTCCTGCCCAGCTCTGAGGGACTTTGGGGCTTGTCCAGAGCTTTTCCCAGCTCTGGAAGCCAACACAGCCCATGACCTCTGCCTTTTCTCCCCAAAACCTCTGTAAACCAAAATGTGGCCCTCCAAGTTGCCCAAAAATTGCAGTGGCAGCTGGCCTCGAGGCTGTCCCTTACTTAAACGTGACCCTATTTTTAGGGAAACAAGCCCCCAGGGAAAGCCAGAAACCTTTTAGCCATTGAGGAGTGGTGAGAATATTGTCCTTTGATGTGAACTTGGCATTAACTGGATCGGATATAGGGAAACCTGTGCTATTATTTCCCCCTGTGTTAACAAGCTCCAGACCAGAGTAGAACTAAGTGAGCACTGCATAAAAACACCAGGTTGATTTCGGCCAACAAGTTCACGCAGACTGTAGCCTCTTGCTTTTGCTCTTTCCAAAGAGTCAGGGGATTCATCTACTGGCAAAATATCAGTTTCGAGACTGAGCCCTGAGGTACAGGAGTATCATCCTTTCAGCGTATGAAAATTCCCATTTAATGGGATTAGCTGCATTCTTGCTCCCATGCGTATTTATCCATCTGAAGGGGCCTGAATGCACCCAGAACTTTGTTATCGTGCTTCTTTGCACCAGAAATTTGATGCTAAGAATTACAGTCATTCAGGCAAAAAGCGGAAAAGCACACAAAAGGCTACGGTATCCGAGGAAAACAGCGTGGAAACCACGCGTGGAGGATTAGTTGGCAAATGACTGGTGAGGGATGGCTGAGTGAGGCAACAGCAACCTGCTCGCAAAGGTTGCACGAACAGAGTTTCCCCTGGTAAATTAGCCATTCCAGATTTCTTGCCCAGCAGCAAGTTTTACTCAATCCCTTCCTTTGGTTTTTTCCCCGCATGCCTGAGGCTGGGTCCTGCCTTCCCATTCCATCTGCCAGGGTGGTCCAGTCTCCGTGACACACGTGTGTGTGTGTGTGTACGTGTGTGTGTGCACGCATATTTTGGCCCCAGGGATCAGAGATCCCACCAGTGGGAAGTTCAGGAGTTGGTTCAGGTTTTTTTGGTCCAACTTTGCACGGTTGGTTCAAAGCTGTGTAAATAGTGTTTGTAATGGAGGATAAAGACTCTTTAGCCCAGACTCTGGTTTTCAAGACCCCTTCCCTACCACGAACCGTGCCACTGATCTGTCCAGGTAGCTGTTTATTTCCTCCTCTTCATAAATGATAAGGTCAGAAGAGCGGCTCTTACATTTTTTCCATACTCTAAAGTGGAATCAGGGCATGTACGCTCGCAAGCGTTGTGAAAAAACACTGCTGAACTAATGACAGCATCAAATGTCCAATAAATGCATGATACTGCACTGCATGTATTAAACTGCTGTTCACTGTTTCTGTACTTCCCGATACTTTTCTTTATGTACATTCAGCCCAGCCTTTTCTTCGAGGGGTTTACTTCTACGTTTTTGCTTTTAAATGACTCGATGTATCTGTAACTCGAAATCCATCGTTAAGTTTGAGTAAATGCAAAAGCTGATGTTTCGTAAACAAGATACTGCAAAGCCTGGTAATGTATTTTGTCTTTCTGTTGAATGCTCTGCAGCATGTACAGGAAGAGTCACCATCCAGAGCAGCTTAAAACTATGCAGCAGTTGCGTACACACGTCTAGAAACGGGGAGTCGGGGAGGGGAGGTTCCCTTTTTGAATACAATGCTTAAAAATTTGATCTGCATCAAAAATTCCTTCCCTGGGTTGCTAATTTTCAGGACTACTAAGAAGCATGTTGGTGTGTCTCTTTGTTTTTTCTTTTTTTTTTCTTTTGGTTCGTTTTTCTTAGTCAAATCTTAGACAGGTTCACTCAATTCTTAGTATTTTTCTCTTCCTACAAGGTATTTCTTTCTGACCTCCTGCAGAATGAACTGCATTTTGGGGACCAAGATGCTGTGATTATTTGCCTGCACAAAAATAGGGCAGAGAGCTGAGCTAATTATCCCATCCTTTCTAAAGCACCACCACCTAAATACTAGCATTTGGTCCTTGAACCTCCATGTAGTACCACCATTTATATGTGGAAGAGTTTGGTGTGGTACTTTTCCTTCTTCCACATGGAAATCATGCCCTTGGCTTCCCTTCCTTTAATCATTGACCCATTTTCATTTGTGCTGGCAGGGCACAGGATGGCCACATGGTACTTCTAGTAGCTCGGGCTGAATCCTCTTGTGGGCATCAGCAGGGCATTAGTCCCAGCTCCTGAGTGGTTGCTGTGTTAGTGTGGAAGATGCTCAAGTTCCCAATACTCAGAGTCACCTGAAGGGGCTGGGAAATTGCTCTGGGTTCCTGGCAGGGAACAGCCAAGCAGTGGGGCTGGAGAGAAAGCACCACACCGGTGGTGTAGGGAGCAAGTTATCAGTCCTTGGAAATCCTGCAAGGGACTGCTCCACGATGGCTGAAAGCACCAAGAAGTCTTGAGGCCACCTTCAAGGCTGGTGTTCAGCCAGGATGCTGTGGCATTGCTGAAGCACTACATGGCAGCCTAAAAAAAAAATCATCATTAATAATGGTTGTAAATCAGCCTGAATTCAGATTGCTGAGGCAGCACATGGTGCAAGGCTCCATGAGGAGGTGGATGTGCGCTGTGGTTCCTGGTGGGTGGGAGCTCCTAGGGGGATGTTCAGGGTAGCTCTGAGCTTTTCCATCTCTCATCTGCATCCCCTGAGCCCAGCATGGCATCACACATGCTATGTCTTACTAGATCCAGCTGTAGCATGACCCCCAAAGTGAAGAGCGTGGAAGGCTGTAGCTCAGAGGGAGACATGTTGTAACTCATGTTTCTGGCCAACGTGTCAGCGACCTGTTGCACAATGGCCTCTAGTTGAGAAACAGCATTTTGGTCAGTTTGGGCCTTTTTTAAGATAGATATTTGATTTGGGTCAGCAAACAACAAAAAAAAAGCCCAGTCTGCCCAGACTAGTGACTCCCCAAATATCCCCAACTGCAAAACATCTCTCAGTTGACTTCTAATGAAATGCAAGCATGTTTTCTACAAAGGCTTAAACCTTAACCAAGGAATGTCGGTGTGCCTAATATTGCAGGTCTTGTGATTGATACAAGTTCATAACAGCATCCGTGTCCAAACAGAAGGGAGAATGTGTATTTACTCCATGCATGTATTAAGGCATCGCAAAAGTTTTATCTGCATAATGAGTTTGCAATACTGCAAATTGTTAATGGGGCTACGTCGCAAGTGGTTCTCTGCCTTGACAATCATGTATACATATCGAGATTTCTATCATAATGACAATTTAAAGGGATGACTAATTGTTTTCCTCCAATAAATACAATTAAATCACCCTGATGTGAAGTCTGATGTTTTTGAGTCTCCACCCACGGGCAAGAAAGGGAGTGAATCATTTCTGTGGCTGCTCCGCTGCTCCCTTGTGTTTTATGCAACAATAAACTGTCCCTTTATGTCACAAAGGACAGTGAGATTTTTTTTCTCCCCAATTCACTCCATAGGGAAATAGATAAAAAGGGTGATTTGTCCTTCGGGTGTTTCCTAAAGCTGCTGTTGGAAGTGATGCTGAGTGTCAACATAGAGAGACATGGCTGTCTCTGGGGGGTTGAGAATATCTGTGAGGGGCTGGTAAAGGAGATGCAGTTGTTGGAGAGAGATGCCCCTTTGAGATGGTCCTGGTGATTTACACAGTCTGTGGTGGGAACCATGAAAGAAGATGGGATTTTTCTTGGTGTTTCTGAGCCCCTTTGCAGTCAGCAATGACCTCCCAACGTTGTTGTGTGAGCCCCATCATTGGCTTCCTTTTCCTCCAGACCACATTCCCAGTGTGACTTATGACTGCTTTTTTTCCCTCCCTCTTTTTTCTTAATTTTCCCCACTTTGATTTCTGCTTTTCTGGCTTTCAGTCACGGGTACACAAGAATTTCTTCCCCTTTAAATATAGCTGGCAAAATCGCTACGCCAGACGAGCGTTGGGCACCCAGCAGGAAGGTGGGCCCATGCTTGAGGTCAAAGCCAGGTTCTGCTGAAATGAACAGCAGTGATAATGGCCAACTCATAGCAATAGAAAAAGAAAGGCAAATTACTTAAACAGCTTTTGTGTTGTGGGTGAAGAAACAACCACCAGAACCAATCTGATTACTATTTCAAAACTGTGGTATGCAACTGTGGCCACAGAACTAGGATTAGATGCTGGACTGTACCAGGAGAGATGAGATGGCCTCCCGCTTGTGCTCTGGAAAAGCACATCCATGGGAAGGTACATCTTGGAAAATTACATCCAGGTGCCAAAATGATGTCAGGGAGTTCCTGGTTTGGCTCAAATTCTGCAGACTTATGGTAGTTGAAGGCCTATCCCATATTGCACCACAAAATGAAAATCTTGGCCAGGAAAACCTTCTTCTTGTGTCTTAGATTTCACAGTTCCTCCGTAGGCTCAGTGATCACACAGTGTGCACTGACCTTTTCCTGGTCTCCAGTAAGACAGGACAGAAGATCACTGCAGGACCATTGAAATCCTGATGCTAAAATATGGGCCCTTGATGTCATGTCAGTATTTACTTGATCTTTGTGCATTTTCTTCAGCAACTAATTCTTGGCTGTTTGAAACAAACGAGATACAATATCGGTACAGAGGGACAAGAACGAGATGGGGCTACAGAAAATATTATGCTTGCAATGTTGCCAAGGTCCACAGCCACATTTGCACTGGAGGGAAGGGGACTGTCCTTATTTTGAAGACTTTCCAAGTGCTGGTATCCACTGAGGGTCTGGCTTATGCCATACATCAGCCTTTCTTCATGTTATACCAGGCCCATTTCTCAGCTCCTTTGGTCTTCAGCACTCTCCCTCAGCAGAACCAGGGCTCTGATGGGCATCACTACGTTATGGGCAGCTCTTCTTTCACACTCAAGAGGAGTTTTGCATGAGTGATATCTCTTGAAGCAGACATGTGCAGGTACCCAACTTTGAAGACCAGCCAACCTGAGCAGTGACAGACCCCCTGTGGTTCAGGCCAGCATAGACAGTCCTACCGTTTCTCTCATTACGCCTACAGTGAATTTCATCCTTAAGGCCAAGCCTACCGTCCAGCTTGTCTATGCATCCACAAAACCATATTTTCAGGTATGGGCTTCTGAGGATCCTTTTGGGGATTCCATGAGGAGACAACATAGGCCTGTGCTGTCCCAGAGCAATCCCAGGACACCATAAGCTGCTGTAGGGACAAGGAGTCATGCTGTTCCTGTCATATTATACTTCCTTCCAGCTTTGAACATCCCTCAGAGAGAAGGTCCACCTTCATCGCTGCGGGTATGTGCCCTGCCCAGCACATCTGAGTCCTTGTTTTGGTGGGGCCTCTCAACAATGCTGAATTACTGTGATGATAACCATTTTTCTAACTGTGGGGGTAGGGAAGAAGGACCATCTGGATCAGCACTGTGAGTATTCAATTGAGTATTTCCAGATTGTTTGGCGTTTGGGCTTTCTGGATTACATTGGGATAAATTCCTGACTTTCAAACTCTGTTTACTTACACTGAATTCAAGAGTTTCTTCTCTTTTTTCATCTTTAGGGTTTTTTTCTTTTCATAATTGCAATATTCTGATAACATTATGGTCAATTAATGGTTCAGTTACCTTCTTCATTGAGGTGTTTTATTTAGGGAAATTAATAATAATAATAGAGTTGAGAGGCAATTTGACGTTTCCATTGAACTCACGAGCTTTGTGCTTTCTTTGGCGCCATATAGGCTCTTGTATGGTTTTCATTTTCTTTCTTTAGGGCAGAATCAAGAGCTGTGTTCACATCTCTGCCTCAGCTTTTAGTTTAGCACAAATGCATAATAAATCTCAAACAAATACTGCCTTTTGTTGGAGTCCAGCTGCGCAGGTGCCCTCCATACTGGAGACTCACGTATCACGCTTATAGCAGAAATATTTCAAGTTTACATTTGCTCAAAGTAAGATCTGAAATGTAACTTTCCCTCCCAGTGTCTGATCCACCCCAGCTCAGCGTAGCACCTAAGTGGATCAGATCCCTGATCCACCATGGGGAAAATCTGTGCCACCAGAGTTATAATAGTGGTGAACCCATACTGACCTTCAGTGGGAGCTGATGGATCAACTCCTGTTCCCAACAGATAGAACACGGGTATGTGATGGACACACACTGGAGCTGTAATATGTATATTTAATATATGGCTATGTATTACAAATGAATATATGTAATACAATACAGTACAATGCATTTATATTATATTATATTATATTATATTATATTATGTTATGTTATGTTATATTATACTACATTATATTATAATAATGTCTCTGCCAGACCAAAGCAGAGGGACAACATGGCATAAACTGAAGGCTTGGGACTAGGCTACTCTGCCTTTTCAGGACTCAATTTACAGGATTTTATCATGAATTTCAAGTGTGGGAAGAAGAAAGAGGTCAAGCTTTCAGATACTTTTTGGTCACAATATCTAAGGAGAGAATTCAGCTACGATCAGGCTAAGGCTGAATTCTTAAGACATGTTTAACTTCACTGCCACCAAACATGTCAACATCAAAGTCCACTGCTGAGTCAGCTGATGATTACCTTGGAAGCTTGTGTTGAGGGACTTCCAACTCCTCTTTCCTCCCTAAGTATTTGTAGTATTTGTAGTATTTGTTGCATGCTCATTCCTAGTGTGCTTTGCAAGGATCTCAAGGAAGAACCACAGAATGCTTGAGGTTGATAAGGACCTCTTGGAGGTCATCTAGTCTAACCCCCTTGCTCAATTAGGGTCATCAAGAGCAGGTTTCCAGGACTGTGTCCAGTTGGCTTGTGAATATCACCAAGGATGGAGACTCAACAGCCTCCCTGGGCCTGGGCTTCACTAGCCCAGGGCAACAGCTTGCAGCCTTGACCAAGCATTCACTGACAAGTCCAGATAATGTACAAGTTCATTTAAGATCCCAAGGAACAAAGGAAGAATTCAGACTTTAATTTCAACCTTCACCCTTTGTTTTCCTTCTTTTATTCCCCAGAGAAGCTGAGCGTCTGTGCAAATGCGTGTTGATAAGTTCAGTAGTCTAAATGTTTTCCTGAAGGATGCCCCATCCCTGGAAGTGTTCAAAGCCAGGCTGGATGCAGCTTCGAGCACCCTGCCCTAGTGGAAGGTATCCCTGCCAATGGCAAGGGGGTTGGAACTCAATGATCTTTAAGATTCCTTCCAACCCAAACCATTCTATGATTCTATGAACTTTCCATTATGCTGGCCAAGAGGATCATTTGGGGTGGAAAAGTCATATTATGCAGCAGTTGTCATATGCTTGAGTTTACCAGTGTTTCACATTAAATCTATGGACAGAACCAACTATTCAGCAATTCCACTGGAAGAAAAGGACCTTCAAGAAAGAGCCAACAGCTGTGGCTAAGAAGGATATGTCAGCTTAGCACCTGGGGCATTTACTTATCTGAGACAGACCCACAAGGTGATTTATCTCCAAATGTGGCTGAATGGATGGATGGGGTCCAGACACCCATGCCTGGAAGTCACCATGCACAGGGCTACATACGGCCACCACATAGCTGGGGATGGCACCCAGGAAACGCTCCCCAGCAGGCTGACGGACCTGAACCAGGCCATGCCCATCACCACCAAGTTGTTTGTGCTAAGAAGAGCTGGGGACCTCGACTGGAAAGTATTTCATTCCTTAAATTCTGTGGGATTCTGTTTAGCATCAGCCTCATAACTTGTTTTGATTGTCTGTGGCCTTATGGTGGTGATTTAAACCTACTGATTTATTGATTCAGTCTTAATTGGGTCCCGAACTGGGTCACTGCATCATTCTATCTTTAATTGCTTTAATGAAAGTCTAGCAAATTAGGCTGGTAATATGATTGCTTAGAGGAACTTTTGCCTGTTCATGCTTCTTAATGAAATCCATAAAAAGTGAAAAAAGAAATGAGCTTATCCTACTGAATTGCCACTTTTATCATGGAGTCTGAGTTAAACTCAGAAAATCAATTTGCAGTGTCCTTGGTTTTTCCTCCAAATAGAGTGTCCTCAGAAAGACAAAACCTAGAACATCAGGAAATATCCACAGAAGAGGAATAGATGGAAGACAATAGTAAAATGTGAAGCTAAAACCTGGGTTCCAGTTCCCACTTTTAAGAGTTCCTTTGACTTTGCATACAAGTCATTTAGGAGAAGACCTAAAAGACTACTTAGATCCCAAAAATGAGCTTCAGACCAGTGGCTAGAGCACATCCTAAGAATCTCTCCTGTTCTGGGAGCCCAAATCTCTGTGCTTTTCAAGGTCTTTCATCATGTCCCAAAAGGTTTGTCTCAT